CGAGCCATTTATTGTAGGCATCAATGTCTGGTTTTAAGATACTAAGACCATATTCTTTGTCATTTAGAAGAAGCTTGTCTAAATAGAATGATGGTATGATTGGTCCAACTGCCTGAACAGGCCAAAAGTTTGCCATCCACTCAATCACCTACCAAAAATTCACAGAAAATTTTGAAATTTTCACAAAGAATGGAGAACAAGTAAAATCTCGGGCAATTTAATCTTTAACGCACAACATATCGACTAGGTGTTTATACCCTACCTGGAGGGTCCGAGTCGTACCTGTTAGACATTTATGTATTGTCCTATCTAATCCAATACACAATGATAGGTTAGACCAGACAATATTAGACATGATGAATCCAGAAAAAAACTTCAAAAAATGTGTCCAATGTTTTATGTAATACTATTCACCACTACATACTAAACATGCCTCACGTGTAATAGCGACAAGGATTCTATTTACTTACCTCTTGTTTCAACTTGTGAAAGGTGTTGACAAGAACCCAATCTGCTTTCTCCACATTTTGGAACTGATTTAAAACTACTTCAAGAGCTGTTGGATATGATCCATAAACATAAATAAAGGAAGGCAAGTCTGGAGATTCCAACACTTGCAATCCGGGAACCTTAATTTCATTTTCACTAGTAGGATCTTTAATCTCCCCTTTTTACACGTAATAGTAAATTTGATCCACAGCACAAGACTGAGTAAAGAACACAGCACCAACTAGTCCAAATTTCTTAGCTACATCAAGACCCCATGGAAGAAATGGATCATAAATTATACAATCAAAAGCACCATCAGATGATTTCTCGAGCTTTTCAATCAATTCTGTCAAAGTTTTTGGGTCGATTTTTCGAAATTTTTCAATGTATGCCTCTATACTTCCTGCCTCAGCAAGCCCTCCATTGTCATAACCATCAGAGATTGTTTCCACAGGAATGGAACCTAAACTTTCTTGAAGAACCTTGTATAAATGTTTCGTTGTAACCAGTGTTGTTCTAATGCCTTTATGGGCTAAACGCTTAGAGAACTAGAGCATAGGGTTTATGTGGCCTTGGAGTGGATATGGCAAGATTAAACAATGAGCTTTATAATCTCCTTTTGCTTTCTCCATTTCTCTGGATAATTGTAGATCAGACAAGATGATTCTCAATACAGAGGACAAACAAAAGGTGACGCAGAACGGAAGTAAAAAATTTACTAGCGTAAATCTTAAAAATAAGAAAACTGGAATTCTCCAAGAACGAAACTTGTATGCAATCAATAATGATGTCGGAAACGTTCAGAAAGCCTTTAAATATGCGTTACAAGAAACCCTAAAAA